ACAACAGCAGCAGCAGCCATCTTGACAACGGTGGCGCTGTTCACTCTCTGGTGGCCTGGTCTGGTGGCGTTAGTGGCGGCAGCAAATGCTACAGTAGCGCCGGCGGCGAGGTAAAGGCAGTCATTGGCCCAGTAATGTGCACTATTGTGTGTATATAGGAGTGTTTGGTTCGTAAGGAATAGAGAGGAAAAGAGTAGCTAAAGGTACGGTCATATAGAGTACGGCCAGGTTCGGGCGCTTTGAAACGAGCCCGTTGCAGCGGTGGAAAACCTAGCCGAAAAAGCTCCTTCACAAAGTTTTCACAGTCGATCGCATATGGATAGGGTCTCGTTGAAGCTGACTCGGGCATCGGTAAAGGGAGAAATAGCGGTGCTTCCTCTGATAAGCAAGCCTCGATAAAAAAGACTCTGCTGAAGCTATTAAGTAGCAGAGTTTTGTGGATCATTTCAAACGCGTCTCGTTTCGAGAGAGTATTAGCTAAGGAAACATGGTTCTAAGGAAAAATCTAATAGATTTTGGAGATTGTTTATTTCCTACAGTTGGGTCGGGTTATAATAACGTTTTTTTTTTTACATCAGACATCTAAGTAACTCATAGGCTCTAGTTTCCTCAAGAACCCATAATATCGTATCGTTAACTGACTGCCAAGTTCATAGAGTAAGATTGTACACTAGCCGCGTTCGGACAAGTGTATGTACTTTAGTTGCGACATAGACAAAGAACTTGACTCAACCCAAAAGCTAAATCAAAGAGGCAAAGAATAGCTGGTCGAAAGTGGGGCGGCTTTGGGAGACCCCTCCGTGTCCCCAAACCAATATGGATTTGATAGGACGGTGCGGTGGTCGTTGCTGAATTTCCAGTCTTCATTGACAGCAAAAATTTCTTCCCCCGACAACCACCGCTTAGAACAGGAGGCCTTTTTGGGCGCCCTGAATTCAACAGTATCAAGTGTTTCCCATTTACCTGCTATGTGGTATGCGCACACATACACAACCGCTTGGTTGTGTGTGTGTGCGTTAATAGCTGCATGTATGTTGATGTCTTTGTAAAAAAGATGTATGGAGTTCACAGAGTCAGCTTTTTATCATAGTCACCAGCGGCTTTCAGGAGCGTCTATACGACTGATCCTCTCTTTCCTCTATGCGACGCTGAAAATTACGGCAGAAGGACGGGGAGGGTAAATCTGACGAATTACGCAGGACGCCGGCGATTGAGAAGCTTCACCGGGAACTCCATCGTGTTCCTTATATATGTACACATATATATGCGTATGTATGTATGCATGCATGATGTCTGTCTATTTGAACAACCTAAATGATTCATACATAATCGAACCCTGAGGAACGCTCTACCTAGCTTCCAAGGACTCTGCTCTTCCCTTGACTGGGCAGTCATTGAAACTCTTAGGCAAAAGAACCACACCATCACTATAGAGCTTCAGAGGTTCGAGACTCTAATGAGCTCTACTATCGTTATGGGTTGGAATCTACCGCCACTGCATCTCTAGCGGCTACACTGCGCTGGCGTAGCCAACTAACGCCGCTCATGGCTCTGTATTCGCCGTTGTTCGCTGCAAGGCAGCGGAAGCAGCAACTTCAGCGGCGGCGGCAATACAAATAGTGCCACATGCCGCCGACACCAACAGCCATCACTTAACCGCTTCTGCAATTGTTACTGCTTTTGGGGACTGGATCCGACAGACCCAAATGACACATAGGAGCAGTAGGGCCAGCGGTTGCGGCCATAAAATATAGCATAGGCACAGAATGAGTAAGCAAGCATAGCAGCGTACCCATAGCATCGCAACGTATAGCCATGGCCCGCCAAAGCAGAGCGCATAATTTAGCGGACTCAATGAGCGAGGGTTGAGCGCCGGGACTTCGGTGAGTGTGGAGCGGGTACGAAGCAACGCGACGCAATAAAAATGAAACGCCGATTCACTCAATAGACGATGTAGCTGTTGTTTTCTAGCTAAGCTAAAAAAAATTCCGAATTTCTACGTCCGGTGCTAATGATGCTAAGCGTTCGTTCAGATTGCTGGTTCCTCTTCCAGAACGAATTGGGGGGTGTTTATGCCCGGTTTTAAATCTAGATTACTTCATCACGTGTTCCTAGATTTAATAAACGAATACGTTACCACTTCACTATGACGATAATGTTGCTTTAAGCCGTTTCCGGCTAACTATATTCGGCACGGAGAAGGTAAGTCTGACAAGCTATGCAGGACGCCGACCACCGAGAGACTCGCCATCGAGCCACGTGAGCCCTGTGAAACACTCCAGTTAGCCCCCAATGACTCTGCTACACCCTCGACTGGCCTGTCATTGAAACTCCGGCACGCGGTTGTTCCTGTAGGCCGCATGCTGAAAGTAAAGCTAGGGACCCGCTATCCGCAGTTGCTATGACAGCCGGAGTGACGATGACCCGCGGCTCGCTGACTCAGCTAGCTCAACTTCTCACCCCATTCGCGTCTCCACTCGGTCCCTATCACCTTGCGGTTTTGCCTTGCAGCAGCTACAAATCGTATGACAGCCGCTACAGAACATAGCTCGCGTTGTCCGGACATTATCGACCGACCATGATTATATGGTGAAAGGCAAAGAAAAACGCGCAAAGGTGAAGCAAGCAAATACGGCAAGATCGAGGCAATTGTTGTTTCCAGCTAGTGCTGGTAGATCGCTGACAGTGTCTGTGACAGCTGCAGCAGTGGCGCCGATGGTGGCTTGCAGGTAGACAAAAGAAACTCTGCATGCCTGCTGTCTCTTCCCTTACTCTATTACGCTGCTGTGTATAGCTACAAGCGTCAGAGAGTTGTAGCCGTTAAACGTAACGTCGTGTCAATGAAACGTCAATGGCCATCAGGATCAGCAGCAGCATTGACAACCGGAGAGAGCAGACGGCAGATGGCCACGGGACGCTAGTCATGGAGAAAAGCAACGAAACGCTTAGCCAGAGACACACAAGCAGGAGAATAGCATTTCCGATTCGTCCGTTTGATAGCTAATACTATGAGCGTTTGTGCCGTCGGCGCCACAGTCGCTACTGCGACAGCTACCGGCAGCGCCACTTGCATTCAGCCGTCACCGTTGCAGGTGTCGACGAGCTATGGCGGAACCAGTGGTGACGATGACAAAAGAGCCTGGACAGCAGATTGCTGCTGACGGTAGAGTAATAACTGTGAACGCCACAACGAAGCACTATCGGTGCGACGCAACCCTTGTCTTTTTTCTTGCAGCCATTTGTGCCACTGCACATATTGACTTTACCACGACCAGCGCCGCTACCGCGATAATCACTCAGCTTCCTCCATATCCCGCTCTAGTCTGTCCACAGCGTAGGCCAGTTCTCGCTGTACCCTGGGTCGGTGACGTGCGGTAGCAGATGATAACGATCCCAAGAGTCAATCGACATGTCCTCGTATGGTGTACTCATACCGTTACCAGAGGCCGCTGTCGGTGGCAGAGTTGTGTTCCGGATCGTGTGAACGATCTATGCATAGCGAACATGCATTACACACCGCTTATTTCCGCCCATTAAATCATTATCACGAGCATGTATTTGTTACACGATAGTCGCGTTGGCACTGGGCAAATTGCACTCATGGTAGCAAGAGATAACGGTAAAAACAGTAAACAACGCGAACTACAATAATATCCACGATAGCGACACCAATTGCTAATGAGAAGATAATTGCGTAGGATCGCTAGCGGAATGCGCCGTATCGAGCAGATTTTTACGCGGAGATGATGCACGTTACAGAAATCGAATAAATCATTGAAACCGTTAGAGGAGTATGTACGTCGAGAAACATCGGATGGACCAGCAGGTACGTAACGTAGGGGGAATCGATGCGGCCATGCTAAGCTAAGCGCATAGCGGAACGAATACCCCCAGGTTAAAGCAACGAAAGGAAAATGCGTTCATATTGAAAGGTTTAAAGAAAATGAAAGATTTGAAAAACAGAAGAGACAGACAATGTCGGAAAACAATGTCGCTCGTTGCAACGCTTTTCAGGATGAGAGAAACCGGCGTTGGACACTACGGCTCACGTTCCTCTGTAAGGGTTTGTCCTGATAGAAGACAACACTCGGTGATCGTAAAGGTAGCTGTTAGACTGAAATGCTGGCTTAAGTCCTTGCAAATGACGATCGTAGTGTGTCGTTGGACTAGCATCTCGCAACATACCATGATTTGTACGATTTATTTTATGGTTAGGGAATAAGGATCGTATGACGCCTTTTTATTCACAAGTGAATATGATTCCTTCATGCTCTGAAGGCACGGCATATCGGGCTATCATTGGTTTCATAGAGCGAGACTTCTGGGGTATATTTAACGCTGATATACTGTTAAAAATAAATTAAAGGATGCCTTTTTGGATATCTTCTTTGAGCATTTTTGGTAGATAGTTCACTAGACGTACATACGAAAGGCAATTTTTAAGTCGACCACCAAGTCTACAAGCAGATCTATATTATATAGAAACGACTGAGATATAATGTAACGATACCTGACGAGTGACTGTCGCATAGACGTATTCACGAGTTTTAGCCATTGAAACCGCTATTATGATTTAACTTAATGCCAACAGACCTCTGAGGGGAATCATTTCACTTACCCTCTTCAACAATTTCTTCAAACTAGCTGAAGGAAATCGCTTATTAAATGTATTGTAATACTCGATGGGGGGTAAGCTGATATCTTGCCGAACTCAGTCATTTTAGATTTAGATTATCCAAGGCAGTTCGTGCAGTTTAGGGGCGTCATAAGTGCAAGTGTTATGCCATAGCAAATCCACGAAACGCAGAATACACATATATTAGGTTCTATTAGAAAATATTACATTAAATTCGTGAATCCATCCTCTTCTACTTGTTTTATTGAAATCAATTTACCGTTTACCTATTTCAACTAGATAATATTGGTCCTCATAGTTCTTTCATATTACCTACTCGTTTTTAACTTTCTACTGAAGCGTCAGCTTCCAAACTAGTACTCACTGTGTATGTGGACCCATGTGGGGGTGTCCAGGAGGTGGCGGCCCATGCGGAGATCCATGCATTGGCGGGCCGTGAGGTCCAGGGGGCATTTGGCCAGGTCCCAGTGGTGGTCCTGGGGGTCCGTGCGGATGACCAGGATGACCAGGATGGCCATGAGGAGGTCCTCCGGGGTTTCCGGGTGGACCTCCGGGATGGCCGGGGTGTGGCCCTGGTGGTCCATGCGGGTGACCTGGTGGCAACTGACCAGGATGGCCGTGTGGAGGTCCAGGATGTCCAGGAGGAGGGGGTCCTGGCGGGATCTGGCCTCCGGGGTGACCAGCATGGGGTCCTGGTGGTGGCCCACCGGGATGAGGAGGTCCTGTCGGCGGAGGATGCGGCGAACCGTCCATGGCCTTCCAGTGCGGACTCCCGTCGGGGGGACCCAACTCCCCCCCGGGTCCCCCGCCGCCGTAGTTGACCGGTTCTCGCTTCACGTTCATTCAATCTATAAGGCGAAACAGAAGAGAAAGAAAAGCAATAATAATATTGACAACAAAATTGATTAGAATTGGTTGGTATACAAGTTCAGGAGTTACGTAGTAGTGTTAACATGCCTAGCTACATATGACAAAATTCAATAGTATTAAATTGATTACAATGTAATTAAGATAACTAAGTAGGATACCTAATCCGTTATGGCCCTACAATATGGAATATAGAAGTAACGCAATGTTTAATCTATAAAAGGACTCCCTGAGAGTACTCTTGGGAACACTCATATGTAGTCGTGCATGTACAGATGCATGACTATAAGTGAGTGTAAAAATTAATTAACTGTGCAGATTCCTCCTAGGTAAAGTCTCCACTGTGCTGTATAAATAACATGCAAGACATCAAAAGAAGTTAGCGGAAAATAAAGAATACGTATATTCTATCATTATTTTTTTTGTATTTTAATAATTTCACGTATGGCCTGTAATTTGTTCTTGATGAAATCTCTCAGATACCAAAGTTCAAACGCAAAGACCAATATTAGAAACTAGAGAAACTTAGCTATACCTGTTAAACTTCGAGCCCTAGGGTGCCGTAAAAATTCGAAGCGGCCTATAATAATTTTGCTTGACACAGTACCCAGCTTTCGATTCGCATGAAGAACAGTAAATCGTTTCTAGCTCCATGCCGCCACATTTTATCATTATTTTTACTCCTCTGCTCATATCTACCTAGGTAACTCAAGCTGACTACTCATAGTTTACTCTTAACATAGTCCTCGATTTTGAAAGTTATAGATTGTACGTATCGAGGAATTAAACAAAATTTACATTCAATGAGTACAAGTAATGCATTACTGATTAGCCGCTAAATCTCTCGTCTATTCAGTCTTTTTCATTTTTCAATTATTGTTTGTTAATAAAGAGACAATTTTATTATGATCTCATTACAAGCCCGTTGATTAATACCAACGGCATGCAACTATCATCGCTAAAAGTTTCGACAGTTATTAACAACTGCATCGAGTTCATCTGGGTTGCCTACGATCGACTTCAACCGCCGTCGTATTAGAATTTGCAATGTAGTTTCATCGTAAACGTCTGCTATTGCAACAATCGAACCATAACTGACGAGTAAATTATAATCGTCATAGTCGCCAGCGCTAATTTAACCCGTAAAATTGTCGGAACTTTTGCTCAATCCCTAATCGCCTAACGATTTGCACATGTTGACTGCCTAGCAATAACGGGTTATAGTAAACTAGATGGCATCAAGAATAATATCATAACGGAAAACGATAGCGTTTACCACCAATAAATTCACTAATAACTTGAGGTCGCCTCGACAAGCGCTTGAAATTAGGAACGAAAATTAATAATCGATGAACATGCAAGTGCACGCGTGTGTTTGTTAGCATTATGGCTGCTGCTAGTTAAGGATGAAACCACAAACTAGTCATAAATTGAGACCACGAAAGGTGATACGGCACTTAACGAAAGCGATACACGAGATGAAAGTTATGATCACCAACAAAGATCACGACAGTATAAAGTCGGCTGATATATGGCGACTTATCTATTAGATCAGATTTCAAGGCTTTATTTGAAGTCAGTGTTATCATTATCAGCGGCGGCGGCGTCGTCGTGCTCGGCGTGCACACGTGAAGGCGCGTCGAACAAAGTTTCCAGTTAAGTTAGTCTAGCGAAATTGACTTTAAGGTGGATCATTCCACAAAATACTAAGTGAACCAACTGTATTCAATAATTTATAGTAATAGGTTTTAAGGAAAATTTGCAATAAGCAATTGTTGTTGTTATCATTATACCTGTAGACTGGAATCGTGCGTAGTTTGACTTTTTTTTTAAGAAAAAAATTCAAAAGCAAGTAATTTGACCTTATAAAGGACACGCGTGTTTTTGGCGACACATATGCTAGGAGAAGTTTAACTGAAAAAGAGAACAACGTGAACGTCTCCTAAAACGTTCATGGTCAAAACCTGAACGCGTTTTTTAACTACGTGCATAAGTCAGATCTGAACTTCAACTCAAGAAATAGATACAAAGAATTAAGAAAGTTATTCTTTTTCCCGTTTTAGTTTTCATTAACAAGAGATTCGATCGAAACAAACAAACACCATTTTTTTTTATCTGACTTATTTGTAAAAGTAGGCTGCTTCTACTCATGACTGACAAGATTTTATGCAATTTTATTTTAACCTCTATCAATAAAAATATAATAAAATTATAAGGAGAATGTTCCGCTAACTTATGTATGTAGGTTTCACAGTAAAGTTTCAGGAAAATTCGTTTTCAATACACGACGCTTCGCGTACAATTTTGCTGTGTGAAACCAAGTATCCGTAGTAGAATAACAAGACATATGTTGTAGTTTTTCCAAGAAATGATAGTCATAATATACTAGGCAGACTGATAAAAAATATTTGAGAACTATGTACGAGTATATGGGAGAAAATGGGTATGGCTTCCGAGAAGTTTTATTATGCAAGCAAGCGAAGAGAGAAAGGGCCAATACAATGTGGGAAAACTTTCTCGCATCGATTTTTATTATACACGTTGTTTTGTATTACCTTTTCCGATAGGAGTGCGACAAGTAATTAAGGTCAATGCAGGTTCTCCCGATTTCATCTATGACGAAGTCGGAGGCATAGAATTAGTTTTTCTCCAGAAAGAAAATGTTTGCCTTCGCTTGTCACGACTATTTTCGTCTACTTAACACCCTTGTTTCGGCCTTTATGAACACCTGTTTATGTATTAACGATGGTTAGCGGACTAACTTCAAACGCTACAGTTAATATAAGTTAATGTAAAGAGGCAGCACAGCCACGGCCCATGTTTCGTATGTAGATACTTGACGGAATTTCCCATTGAAATTCTCTAATAATGCACCAAGGCGCAGCTGTTTAGCAACGACATCACCTGGCACCGTAGAATGGTTTCATGAGCTAAGATTTTAGAAATTTAGAGATCTGTAAGTAAAAATCCGTATAAGAAGCAGAGGAAATAAAGCAACTTTTCTTACCTTGGTTAATACATATGCGATTTTTTTTGTCTTACCCAATAACGTTGCCTATTTATAGTGTGGATGTGGGGTTGACGACGAAGTTTATTTCTCTACACTTGGTTGTATCAAAATAAGTCTATATATATATAAATAATAATAGGAATAAAATGGGCTAATAAAACCTAGTGAACGTACAGCTCTTCCACAAAAAAGAACTTGCCAAGAATAAGATAACGCTGATAAATAAAACCACATTGCACACACAGGCGTTTTGAATGCCCTGTGATTTTAGAAAATGCTCTTATGGCACTTGCAAAATTACAATATCCGTTGGGATTATAGTACAGCAGCCTATTAAACGCATTACCCTGAATGCCTGAAGTGCCTACCCTGATGTAGAGGTCTCGAAAGTAAAGTTACGTGCTAACTGTCTACGGATCGCTTATCCGGTAGGTGCAAGGATAGATTATCTTAAAGAATGAGACGATATGCGTGCTGTGAATCTTCCGTCGCACTAAATCTAACGGATCTAGTAAAACCTAATAAAATCTAACGGATAAAACCGTCAACAATATATGGTAGATAAACAGAATAAAATGTTAAATTTAAATACTAATATTATGTCATGTTGTTTCGATGACAATTCATATTCAATAGTTCGTAATATCTCTGTGATGATCTTTAGTAAGGATGGCGTAAAGGATATAGTGTAAAATGTAACCTTGCATTTGTAATTCTTTAGGGTAAAGGAGTACTTCGCTTGACTTGACTAACATGACTAAGAGAACTTGTATTACAACATGGCTTATCCTGGTGCCATCTAACCTAGCTAACGATAACGAATTGTGTAAATCGCGTCTCAGAGTGGTTCCATATAGCAATATTACTGAAGAAGCATTAATTCTATGTGACACATGTAAAACGAAAACGAGTAAAGCTCTAGTCTACAGGTACTTACCGTGAAAATGCGGCTTCATCTTTTAACGAAGCTATACAAGAAGTACAATTGAACGATAGATACGTGCGATATGTACGCACCGCGCACGTATCAAACATGCGACACATGAGATCCACCTGCTTTGTCATTTGGCACGCGACTCCACCGCCTTCTCCGTTTATGACCAAAATACAGGAATCATGTTTAATCGCAGAGGCAGCGCTGTAGCTATTTCTCGTTTATTTTTTTGCCCGTTTCGTACTAACGACATTGTTTTTTTTTTACATCCTGCTATTATTCAACGATCGTTCTTTCGTCGAATGGTTGAAAGCCGAATACTTTCTTATAAGTGCTGCATGACTACAAGTGCTAAGTTGGAGACAAGCAACTGGTTGTTGACGGTGGAGAAAACACGCCAAGACGGCGTGATCGCAAAAACTCGCGTACCCCCACAGTGTCGTTCGCCATACCTTTGTCTTTTGGTAGCACCAGATCCTTATCCAGCATGTATCCCGTAGTTAATAATTTAAAGTTCCTTCATTCCTCATTAGCAAACGACGATAACTGATTTGTAGCTGAAGAAAACGGCGGGCTTAGCTAATCGTGATAACGGACACAATATATATTTTTCGATTTATCCACGTAGACATATTTATGTTCCTAAACTTTTTCATATGCAAACAAATGCAAAAGTTTAGAACAAAAAATATAATGGATTCGTATAGTACGAGCTCCTATGTGCCTCCTCTCATCCTCCAATGCAACACAAGTAAAACACCACGACAAAGGCTATACGCACGGCATTCAAAGGCTCTCATGGACCATTCAGTGGACCAAGTATCATCCTTGCACTTCCATTACGTGATTTTTTTTAAGTCAACAATCTGCTTAATAATACTTCAGTTTTTTCTTTATCTAGAAAGTCTACTCACCGTGGGCCCGCCGGAGTAGAGTCCGCCAGCTCCTCCACTCACTTCATCCAGAACAGCGTACGGGGATATCCGGCTATGGAATACGACAGGGGTTTCGTCGCAAAAAAAGAAACGGAATAGCTGATGGGCTCCAGAGAGAGCTGGCGGCGAACTCGACGAATCCGCCAGGTAAAAACACAATTGTGTGTCCCTTTATCTTTGTTTTGTTCTGTTTTCTTGCTTACATGTCCGAATACACGAATCCGTGAACCAGCACCGAACGAGCACAACACCGAATGCTTCACGAACACACGACAGACATCGACCGGCTCGAATACAACCAGCAGCTTCTGCTCTTAGGCTGCAAAAACTTCTTCACCAGCTCGTCGTTTCCTTTAGTGAGATTCTGAGCCAACACTGTTTGACTTCTTGCCTTCGAGGAGCTTTTTCTGTGGCTCGAACGTTTTTTTCACACACACATAGCCACACACTTTCGTTGGATGCTGGCAACAGCAGCAGCACCTGTAATACGAGTAATATCACCCTCTTTGTTAAAAATGGGGCGAAGTAACCCCCACTGACCACTTGGAAGGAGCTCCAGACCTTCGTTTTTTCGTGTTATAATACTGCTACACCCAACTGCCACTCGCCGCCAGTTATGGTGCTCAGTTTACTACCACACAATAGTTAACAGCACCTTCAGTATCTACTTCTACTATTACTGCTGCTACCGGAGCAACTACCTCAATTCTTCGATCCTTTCTTCACTAATACCGCGACTCAGACGGCCACGGTCGGAACCGCCGCTTCGTTGCGGCTCTGTCTGCCTTATGCTTGCTGCTGATGTTATGCCGGGCGATGATACCGCAGCAGCACTCAGCTCCCCTCGACTCCGCTCAGCAGCAGCAGCAGCAGCTCAGTTCAGCAGCGGCAGCGGTCTCAGTAAAAGCAGCAGCAGCAGTAGCAGCAGGAACAAAACTGAGCCATGGCGGTGGCTGGACCGCCACCGCAGCCGCTGACCGACGAAGATACGAACACGATGGCGACGACAACGAGGATGAGCACCGGAGCACCGTAACAAACGAAGCTCCAGTAGCGGCGGCACAGACTGCATAAAATCAAAACGAAACAAGCAGCAACCCTCCGGCCACTCAACCCAACCGCTTCCCTTCTTCTCGTCGTCGAGACTCTCCTGGCTTCTCGCAGCAGCAGCAGCACCGGCGCTAAAGCTGGTGCTAATAGCAATGCTTGCTCTGACAGCGGCCGCTGCCGGTGCTGCTTCTGGCACAGCGCCGCTGATGCCGATGCGCTTGTTGATTCGATACTACCCTACTGCCACTGGTGTTGTTGTTAACGCGATTTTGCGCCGCTGAATTGCTTGCTGCGGCTCGAGTAGCAGCAGCAACGGCCGGCGCTGCGACTGTTGATGCCAATGCGGCTCCTTGCCGTGGGCAACAATAACAGCAACTAGAGCACCGTAGCAACGAAGGATGAGTGGCAATGGCGGCAGCGAGCGGGAAACGATCCGCGTTGTCTGGCTTCTAGCGGCTGCTGCTGCCCCTGTTGGCTGACCGCCGCGACAGCCGTCCGCGGCTTCTTTGTTTGCAAGCTGTCACCAAATCAATGAAGCGTACCACAACGAGGGCTGCACATAGGCGCGTGGCACGGTTGTGGCACGGACGATGAAGGCGCGGTACGTTGCACTCGTTGAGTACTGGTGAGAAGGTGCCGCGGTCGCGTGCGGAGATAACTAGGCGGTGCCGCGTGTGCATACAGAGAGTGGGCGATGTATGAATGGAGTCAGGGGCAAAAAATAAAAAATAAATAAATAAAAAATAAAAAACGAAAGAGAAAGAGAGAGGGTGAGAGAGGGGACAGACAAGAGAGAAGGTGAGAGAGGGGTGTATGTGTGTCTATGTCTGTCAGTGTGCGTTACCGTGTGTGTGTGTGTGTATGAGAGAGAGAGAGAGAGAGAGACTAAAATTATTTTTGAGAATCATAAAGAAGCTAATGCGAGTAAAAACTGTAACAACATTACATAGGAATAATGAATTATACTACGACTTTAAGAGTATGAAGTTCACGGAAAGTTAGCGCGACTGATGGTTTTTTTTTGTCTGTAAATGAACGGCAAGGAAAATACTGTTTCATTATATTTTTGTACGGATTCGGTAAAGACGATACAAAACTGAGGAAGTCAAATGCTAACGTTTCGCTTGATAAATGCATCGTTTTAGGTATGCTTTTGGTATAATTTGTCCACCTAACTTGTTTTTTAATAAAATAACGTGTTCGTATAAAAAAAATGAGTACTATTTTTTATAACATGTAAGCCTAGCTTATAAAAGCTTTAATAGTTTCCTAAATATTGTCAAAATATGACTGTGTTATTGCAGTTATATTGAGTACAAGATTTTTGTCGTCTAATGAAAAGACATAAACTTTAAGGTTTTTTTCTTCCACACAATTCGTACGAATTAATAGAGCTTCTTTGTCAACTTTTTTCTAGGTATTAATAGTTCTGAAAGACACCTTTTTTTTTTTAAATAAAGGAAAACCACTTATGTGACGTACAGTATTATTACTACGTACTACATTTCCTCGTTAATCTATAATAGAAAAAATAAACTCAGCTACTTCAAGTCTGTCACATAAGCAAAACACACAGTTTTCTTAAAATTAAACGTTATTTTTTTGTTAACTAACTTTAAGTCGATGAATTGCGGCTCGCGTCTTCTGTAGGATAAATATGGTAGGAGAAACTCTAAAAAAAAGTTTTATGTATCAGTTCTGAATGCTTCATCAGGTTCTATTATAGCGGTAGTCGATTATTTATGTGCTGATTTTTCAACTTTTAATCGCTCTGTATTTTTTTCATCTTATTTGATGTTCTTTTTCTTTCTTCGCGAGTTTTTTTAGAGTTATGAAATACTGAAAAAATCTTATTTTGGAAAATACTACTTCCGTTGTAAGACTACTGGTACCATCTTTACTACTCCGTATTACCTGATGTCGTTGTTCATTTTCACAATATCACATTAATGATGTTTTAGCATGACAGAAACAGAATAAGTAATATGACATAGCACCATTACAGGAACAATATGAGATTCTGCGTGGCGACGTATTGGATCATAGTATGCAACCTTTCAGTTGGGTTGTATAGCGACAACTTAGTCATCGATTATATGATAGATATGATGTAAGCAGAGGCCGAGAGTACGCAAAGTTATATCAAAATTAAAAAAGATTGCTATTACCTTAATGCAGTCAATCCAGTATGGTAAACTGGTTTAAAGAATGGTATGGGTGTGTACGTGAAAATGTGATTCACTCAACCACTATCACGACAAAAAATGTTCTCGAAAACGCCCACTCTTGTAAGTTAAAAAGGGCTAAACATTGTTGCTTTAGCCCGATTTCTTTATTTTTAAGAAAATACTTGAAAGGGACACCTGTGTCTAACAAGGCCAAATTGCATGGGCCAAAACTAGGGCTAAATGTGTCATCCATAGTTTTATGCGCGTACGCCCGTCATTCAATAAAGCCAAAAGAAAAATGCTTGTCTTTTAAGAAACAGCCGTGTAATTATCGTATAATTATTCAACGCCAAATCAACTAGATCAAAAATGATCATGATTCGCTTATCATAGGTGTTTATTACTCAAGATCTGATACACAGTGAGAAGAGCCGGGCCTCATATGGCCAAAATGGCACATCTAGCGGTTGCGTTTTCTTCGAGGGGAACCTGTAACAATGCTTGCACAGTTCTCCAGAGATCATTTTTCATGCAACTATCGTGGTTATCAGTAGTAAGTTATATTCCAGCACTAAATTTATACCATCCTTAGCTGTTTAATCCCGACGGTACCAATACGATCGTAGCAATTTCATTCAAAAGCAAGCACATTCGATTAGCAGTGGTAGTAGATTAAATAAGTTATTATACAACATATTTTTTTAGCTATAAGATCACACAATTAAAGTGAGTAAAAAGAGTATATATATATATATATATATATATATATATACTGAAGTATGTTAGGCGCTTTAATCTCTTTTTAAAACTAGTAATTCTTAACACTATATTTCAAATGGACTTAGAGTATATTATATAGCCCCAGGATATTCACATATATTGAATTGTAAATGTTTTTATTATCACACAACGTGAATTTAGCTTGTTTTGAGCGCTACGGCTTTGGGGCCAAAATGTTATGAGAAAAATGTGTTTTGCCTCTTTACGGTCCAACTGAGGTTCGATGATTCGAAAAAAAAAATCCGCTGGCTCCGCATAGCCTCATCTTCTGAACTCTAGTTAAAAAATAATTCCTTTGACCAAAAATTGCGAAAAATTGCAGCGAACCTCTAATCTATACCACTAAAAGTTTGAAATAATTAATTTTCAAACAAAATCTTTTCAACATGAAAAGAAAAATTCGAGTAGCTCTTATAACTTCATCTCCGTATGGTATTAAAAGCCCCAACTTTATTGGCACGCAGCGCCAAGCTTCTAATAAGCTAATACATTCGGTTAGCTACTCAAACGATTAAAGACGAGTTATTTTGGTTACAGTACTACGAACCGTTGAATCCTAACTAAATTGAACAATTGTCATCAATAATAATAATAATAATACAATCAGTAAGTATTATTTTTATTATTGTCACTAGTTAATTAATGTCGAATCAATAAAAATATAAGATAAAGGTCAATTGTTATAGATGAAAATCGCAATAGCTAGACGCAATATATGACACGAAGAAAAACGTATCCATGTTCAAATATCTCAAATAAGATTAATAATTTAAAATTTTCTTCCAGATTTCTCTAGTTTTTCTTCTAAAATGTTGGTTCATGTTCTACAGTTTAACCTCGCTCATTTTTTAACCTTCTATATGTTACGCATCGGTCTGGTCTAGGACCCTTCGAACCTACATCGAACATTGTGCCTAATAATATTACGTAATATTATAAATATACTTGTATTCATAACATATGAAACGATACTATACATAATAGGCAACTTTTATAAGTGCAGTTAAATTATGCGGCAGCTTTGGTATTTCATATATATATGAAATATCACATCCTTATATAAGGATTTGATAAAAACAGCAACTTGCATTAAAAAATGTCGTATCACAAGCACGCTAACCCCACTAAAGAAAGGTACACCATGGCGGTATTTTTAGTGATATCGACTACAGGCTCGTTAGCAGCATTTTTGTGGGTCGTACTGAATGTCCGATAGGCAACATAGAGAAAATCGTCGAATCCCGACGCGTCGATTCCTTCCAACACTCTCTTCAAGTGGGATTGGTCCCTACATGCCAGAAATCTGAAGCCATTAAGTGAACCGGGTTAATCTAAGTCGAGTTCTTTGTACTCTCCAATTCGCCTAATTTACTTACTACCCGATAGCACTCAGGTCTGAATAACCATAAAGCAAACAAATTCCACTCAAAACAACCAAAATTTTCTAGTAAAAATTACTTTCGCCAAATATTCGTTAAGTAACTTAGAGGCCTTTTAAATTTTAAAAAAAGGTGGCTTCCAGCTGGTTCCAGGTATAGCACAGGACCTAACATTGCGAGTGGTATGTTCTCGTGAAGTACATGTATTATTAGAAATTCTGTCTGTTTACACGGCCGTTAGCTTTCATAGTATGCACTCGCAGTCAAGAGAGTTGCACACGCAGTGCCTGATCAACTTCGGTCAGCCATGTATATGCTGAAACGAATCCAGACGAATTTGTTTCAGCCCGACTTATATTATGGAAGGTGATTTAAGAAATTGCTGTTTATTAGAACGAAACGTACGGAAATCGACCATAAAGGCGACAGAGTGTTCAAAGTAAAAATGAAGGTCAATGCGGTGTTATTTCCTGCCTGTCTTGAAACTGTTGTATATATTGTGCAATACTTTTATCGTACGACAAATAAGTTTGGTATTTTTACAGAGACATCAAACTTTCATGAGTACTTAGCCGGTCCTGTGAAGGAAAAACGGGTCTTTGGGATGAGTGCTCTCTGCTGATTTTGTTTTTGAGTCACAAAGTAAACGTCGAGTTACGGACGTCGCTATTATATATGACCTGCCGATTTTGATGAAATGTTTATAGGTTACTTTGATACCTCAACGATAGTTACGAAAATAGAGAATTATTTGGACTGGAGCAAGTCTTCCAATGGTTATTGATGGTAGTCTTTGCTAAGAATAAACACGACATTAAGTTTTCTTCTAAGACACTCGGCGAATATTCACGAGAGTTAATAAAAAGGTTTCCGGGACTTTACTATAAATTGAAAAACATATATCTAGTTAACCCAATTCGTGCATTTCTATTTAAACTCGTCCCTTTAGCGTACAATACCTGTCATGTTATCTATTTTACTCAATATATAAGATTAAGCCCCATTTCCGAATTTTTTTCCTAAAATAGCATTTTAGAGTTTCCAGTAATTGCTTCAAGTGCATCGAAATGTTTTTCCGTTTTTTGTATTTAGAGGAAGTCATAGGGAGTTACGTCAAGGACTGGAATATGCGCGCATAGAGATAAACATATCTTCAACAAAAGGATTATAAGTTTAAACGTTAAATTGCAACTCGTTGTTGTAGCTTTTGTCTACAAGCATTTGTACAACTTATGGACATCTAATTTGGTTTGCTATTTTTTTGCGGTTCAAAGTAAAAGGAACATCCAACATAAACAGGACGTTTTCAACGAGTGGAGCTTTCGATCAATGCAAAATTCAACAAACCTAATCTGGTGTTACTGTTTAGTGCCAACTAAAGCAGTCGTCGTGCGTGCAGGAATTATCAATATTAACGCTAATTTTGTACAT